TACATCTGATATATATTTAGTATTTAACCTAGATATCTAAATAAAATAATAAAGGCAATTTAATAAATAGTTTGGGCTTCACCATTATATTATATTAATTGTATTTGGTATGCTTAAACTGTTAGGAGATTCTATGTTGTCAAATTTTGAATGATTACATGAAGTAGAAGTATCGTTACTTTATATTGCATGTTGAATAGTTTCCGGACTGATTCTAGAGTTTGATGAGTTGCATGTTGAAAATGATGTGTACTGTAAAAATGGTTAATAACAAAGTTGTAGAGAATTTGATAAGCTTTTCAGAAAGTCCAGGATCACTGGATTTGGATTTGTAGAACTCCAGTTATGAGTGAAACAAGTAGCTGCTGTTTTATGGTATAAGCGATGCATTATGGAAAGATAATTAAATAACCGAGAAGAGTTATGCACCTACTCAATAAACATGATGCACTTGTTAACATATACGCATTCGTAATACTTATGCCATACTCATGCATCTAGGATCGGAGGAAGAGATCACGTTCTTTGGAATTGAAGAAGCAGAGGAAGGGAACCGGCGGGAGGATCCATAGCGCAGCTCCCTCCAAGGCGTGGAGCGAGAACCCGAAGAGCTTCCGGAGTGCCACGACCACCGCCCTACTTCCTTTCTGCGAGGCAAGCCCCGGAGCATTATAAGTCTCCCGATAATTTATAAATGTTTACTTAAGTACTTATGATTCTTTGTATTAGGTTATAAGAGTTGAATGAAACCACTTGATGCATGTACATTCCTTGTCCAGATATTACACCTTTAACCGGTATAGGTCCAGGATCGAATATATGCTTAGCCATGCTTAGACCGGTAGAAGTCGGGTGATTTTCGTCACTGCGAGATATAGGTGGATCTAGAGCACGGTTGGTTATAATTGCTATCGTGGAAAAGAACCATGGTTAATGTAAATGGAGACCCAGGCGGGATGTCGTCGATAGAAGCAACAACAAGACATGGAGGTCTTGGGTGTGGATCTATCCCCGTCTCGTGTCGATCAAGGACCGTACCATTGTTGGAACTTCCGACAAGATTGAACGCATGCCTCTCGCTTAGTGGTCGGATAATTCGTTCGACCCATGAAGCGAGTAATTCAACTCGGGCCGAGAATCGTTACATTGTGCGCTCCTTCGTGGGAACGATCGACCGAGCCCAAGGCAGGCTTGGCTCGAGCATCCCGGCATCTGGTGTTCCAGTTATGCGGTATGCGAAGACGGACCCATGAAAAATGTACCGGAGTTGTATCAAAGGTGACCTAAGGCTATCGTCATGGTAGTAGACTGGGTTTGTGTTAGGAATAAAATCCGGTGGTTGAAATTGATTCAATCGCCGTCTCTCCCGGATAGTGAGAAACTTGGCTAGCTCCAACATCATAGTAAGCGTATTATGAAACATGATGGTTCGGATGAAAATGGAATTACAATACCGCTATGGTTACTATTGTATGCTTCTAAATGATATACCACATGTTTGGTCAGGATAGTTGCTAATCTAGAAATGGATAGTTATAATTAACTTGGTAAAGGAATTATAATTGTACAACGGATCGATTGCCTTTTTCGCAAAATGTTGTCAAAGTTACGTCCACTTATACTGACCTTGCATACTCCTTGGAGTCATTTTATTTACGGTTCATGATGACAGGTAAGTCTAGTGAGTACCTTCTCGTACTCGGGGTTTATTTTCCCATTGTTGCGAGATGGCACTTGTGTATCATGGTTATTGCAAGAGTTGCTTCTATCCCATTGTGGATGAGGAGTAAGCCTTGGCGGAGCTTCTTTAGTAATTCCTATCCTTGCTTTTGTGGACCGTGATCTAGCTTGGCGTGGCTTGTATCAAACTATGTTGGAAACTTTATCTTGAACTTATTTGCTTCCGCTTTATTTATCAAACTCGGTTTGTAATAACTTTTATTCATACTCGATGATGAAAAGTATGTCGTGAACTTTATGTAATATGTGGCATGTATGTTGAATCTGCACGGTCTTGGTTGTTGTAAATCGTTTATCGAGACCCGTCGTGGTACTCGACAGACTACCGGGTTTATATGGGTTCAAGTATGACGGCGACCGCTATGGATTGCCATTGTACTTGTATTCTTATAAATTGGTCGATTCTGCTGACGGTGGCATCGAGAAACAAGATTCAACGTTAATTGTCACAAGTGTATTTAAAACAAAAGTTTTGTTTTCCGAAAACCCTTCTCTAGCAACTAATAGTTATATAATAGGTATTTGAAATCTAAAGTGTGCCAATGATCACTTTCTTTATGCCCAAATTAAGGACTATTAGGTGGCTATTTAAATACTAACATGGGGGTTTTTACTTCGTCGTCCATACAGCGTGCTATTGTATGGATGCCATTCACTTGAATGGTAATGTATGGATCAAATGCCTCTATGCCAAGGTAAGATGAGTGTATGACCGCAAGATGTGAGCATGCGGTCGGGGAAGAGTAGCTTTAGTGCGGCTATGTATGCATGCTTGCATGTGTATATGGTACGTATTTAATTGTGGGTTAAATTATTGTCGGGTAGATTGATACGGAAGTATATGTATGGGTATACATATATGGAAGTATTTACAATTACATTCTCGCATATTCATTATGGGTTTAGGGCTGAAATGAGATCTTATGCGGGCACTAAGATAAACGTGTAGCTCGACTAGTTCGTTATTTATGAGAGAGCGTATGTATGCCACCGTGTCTACCGCTAGAAACAAATTTTTCCTAAGTTTGTGAGGACGTCACGGAACGAGCATGCATCATGATAATTACCATTCACATAATTACATTGTTCTCCCCTTATAAAAATTCTTACTCGGTTATGTAACTCTTATCCATTATGGCATTGTCTCACCAAAGGGTACATGTTAATGGTGCGAGATGACACTTGTGTATCATGGTTATTGCAAGAGTTGCTTCTATCCCATTGTGGATGAGGAGTAAGCCTCTGGACAGCTTCTTTAGTAATTCCTATCCTTGCTTTTGTGGACCGTGATCTAGCTTTGTGTATCAAACTATGTTGGAAACTTTATCTTGAACTTATTTGCTTCCGCTTTATTTATCAAACTCGGTTTGTAATAACTTTTATTCATACTCTACGATGATGAAAAGTATCTGTGAACTTTATGTAATATGTGGCATGTATGTTGAATCCTGTACGGTCTTGGTTGTTGTAAATCGTTTATCGAGACCCGTCGTGGTACTCGACAGACTACAGGGTTTATATGGGTTCAAGTATAACAGTGCGACCGCTTGCGGATTGCCATTGTACTTGTATTCTTATAAATTGGTTGGTTCTGCGACAGCTTGCAACATATGCAACATCCTGGTCTAATTTTGTAACTTCTAAATAAAACACTTGCAACATCCAGATGACACATCTGAAACACTTGGAGCATACGCTTCCAACATGCGCTTTCAGCGCAATGCCACCTTTTTTGAGAATGAGTACGATGTCACCTTGCTGCTTGGACGAATGGACGCTCGTTGTTACGGAGCTTGATGTCGGCGCAGAGATCGGCGGTCGCATGGAGCTCGTCGGTGAAGCAGTGGCGCGGCCCACATGCGGTTCTCCAACGCCTGCTCGTAGCCCAGGCTCGCGGCCATAGGCGGCGGCCCTATTGCTGCTACTCCAGCGCCGCTGCTCACTCGACCACAGTCGTCCAGCGTCATCCGGTCGCAAGGGATGGGGCGCGGTGCGGCCGGCCATGGGGTGCGTGCGTGGTTGGGGAAAGGGCACGCAGTGTGAAGGGTGACAGGGCGCGGTTGGGGAATGGGCTGCAGCGGCCACGCCGCGACGGGCATATGAGCGGAATGGGGATTTTTTTTAGAGGCAGGTCCGCTACGTACTGGGAGCCACATCAGGACGGGACGGACGCCCGTGGCTGAGCATTCCCGCTTATTTAAGGAAGAGTTTTTTTTGCAGTTGATAACACACGACAAATAGATCAGGATTTGTTAGAAAATAAATAGTTTGCTTGTAAAGAAAACTCTTTCATTAATTTATTAGAAGATAAGTTTATACTACTTAGGGGCCAAGTCTCTCGAGACTATAAATAGAGGGGCAATGTAAACTTTCAACCATAAACAAAGAAATAAAAAATCTATTCTCATATCGCCTCTTCTCTCTGTCTCTGTGCCGCCACTCCTCTCTCCCTTTCTTCTGCGCCCACGCTGCCGCTGCTCCCCTACCCTAGCCTGATGCCACCGCCGTACCTAGCAACCGGCGCACCAGTGCCGCCGTCACCCCCTGCCCTAGCCGCCGCCGCCACCCCTAGCAACCGGCGCACCAGCGGCGCCGCCCCCTGCCCTAGCCGCCGACCCTCAACTGACCACTCCAAGCAGTACCCGTATAATGGCAAGCAATACAGGTAATAATGCTAGTATTTGCCATAGTAGATGGCGCTTAGGCAAAACATTCACCATTGAGGGTTGGCAGAATTATTTAAAATCTTTCCGGAAGAAGCAATGCCTTTTTAGTTGGTGGTAGTATCACATGAGCAGGACTGGACAGCAAGTGTGGTCGAACCAAACCAACTACACGTCACCAGAAAAAGGAAAATTCTTTCGTCGTCGTCGTCGTCGTCATCATCATCAGATCTTCACCACTCATCAAAGAGTAATAAAAACAAGGGGGAAGAAAATGTGGGAAATGGAAGGATACAGGAACAAGAGAGAGGCGAGGTGATGGGCCAGGCCACGGGTGGCGCGATGCGACGTCGGCTGTCGTGCTCGTGAGTCGTGACCGCAACCGCGCCCTCCCGCCTCCGCCACCTCCTCCTGCGATTCCGATCCGCCGCCCTGTCCAGCCGGCCGGCAAGCCCCCGCCTCCGCGCCTGTCTGTCCCCTCGCCCATTTCATTTCAATTGAGAGCTGAGAGCAACCAACCCAGCCAACCAACCCTAGATCCACCCCCGTCCCCCACACGACAGGAGAGAGATCTCCCCGTCCCCGATCCAATTCCGCATGGCCTCCTCCTCCTCCTTCTCCCCCGACGACCAGACCGACGCCGACTTCTTCGACAAGCTCGTCGACGACGATGACCCCGCCCCGCCGCCCGCCACCGACTTGCCTCGGACCGTCTCCGCCACCAGCCTCGCCGACGACCCACCCGTCCCGGAGCCGGCGCCGGCGCCTCCCGAGGGGTCAGGCAAGGGTGGCGCCGGCGTCCACACCGCGGTCAAGCAGGTGCAGTGGGCCTCCTTCGGAGGTGGCGCGGACGACGGTCCTGATCCGTTCGCTGATCTCTCGGGAGGCGCCGGCGACGACGACGGCTTCCTCGGGAGCACGGCCGGGACCCAGACGGCATCGGATCACGCCTTCTTCGGCGGGAGCCAGAGCTTGGCCGCTGAGGTGACGGATCAGGACTTCTTCGCTGGGACCAGCTCCTCCTCCGATCAGCAGAATGTCAATGGTCAGTACGACCAGGGAGGCGGCACCAGCACTGCAGTGGATTCAGCAGATCCCAAGTCTTGGGAGGCCATGTACCCTGGGTGGAAGTACGACGAGGCATCACAGCAATGGTACCAGCTTGATGACAGTGTAAATTCAACTGGGAATGCAGCTCAGGTGCTGGACAATAGCACTCAGAATGCAGCAGCAGCAGCAGCAGCAGCAGCAGCTCGATGCATCATACCTGCACAATTCAGCGCATGCGGGGCTTGAGACAATTGCCGAGGAGGGCACTACCGCAGCTGGTGCTGTCTCAAGTTGGGGGCAAGGGGCTGCCTCGGAGTACCCACCCAACATGCTCTTCTATGCAGAATACCCTGGTTGGTACTTTGACACCAACACTCAGCAGTGGCACTCCCTTGAGTCGTACCAGCAGGCCGCCATGCAGGCTGGAACAGCTAGCACGGGTCAGACTGTTGTTGCAAACGATGGTGTTGTTGCGACTTCCTCCTCTCTGACAGGCTATAATGCCGGGCAAACTGAGGACCTTGCTGCGCACAATCAGGTGACCCAACACAGCTCATTTTCGAATAGTTTCACTCAGCAGAACCAATGGCAGACTACGGATGCATTTGGTAACAATGTACGGCCTGAAAGTGCTACAGATAACAGCCTGGCTAGTAGTTTCTATGGTTTTGAACAGCACAGGAATGATGAGACTACCAGTTCCTCTACGAGCCAACAGGCTGGTTTTAACACAGCTGAAACTGTTACAGACCACTATGGTGGACGCGAGGGCTTTGAATCATCAAGTATTCAGAATGGTTATAGCTCCTCTGGCAGTCAACAATCCAGTTACAAGGCATTCGAACCTTCCACGGGTTATCAGGCTGGTTACAAAGCGTTTCAACCTGCTGCAGGTCACCACACCAGTACCAACATGTTTGAACAGTCCACAGAAGGTTACAAGGCGTTTGAACCTGCCATGGATAACCAGAGTGGCTACAAGGCATTTGAACCTTCTATGGGCCACCATAGTGCTTCCCAGGGATTCATGCCTTCCACGGGCCACCAGACTGATTTCAAGGGGTCCGGAGCTTCCACAGTTCACCAGGCAGGTTACAAAGAATTTGAAACTTCTACAGGTTACAATACAAGTTTCAAGGCATTTGAACCCTCTTCTCAACATGCTGGTTTCATGGGTTCCCAACCTTCTTCAGGACACCAACCTAACTACATGGGATTTGACACTTCTGCAAACCACCATGGTTATGGTGATGCCAATGGTGTTGTGAGTACTCAAGGCTTTGTCCCAATGCAAACCACATACCAGGGCCAGAAACAAGCAATTGCAAACTCGCAAGGGCACCTGTCAAATAGCTATTTGGGTACTGACAACTCCATGAACTTTAATCAGCAACAATTTCTGGGTGCAAATGCCTCAAACTTGCAATTTGGTCACTCCCCACATGAAGGCAGGTCATCGGCTGGACGACCACCACATGCCCTCGTTGCTTTTGGGTTTGGAGGGAAGCTCATAGTTATGAAAGAAACTAGCTCCATGCCTGCAGGCTTTAACACTGGAAATCAGGTATCACAATAGTATGCTTTTGTAACGTATTTTGTAAAGAAGGAATATCACATATTTGAGTACTAAAATATTTCTTCCGTTTTCTTCTTCTTGCAATTCAAGGGTAACCCTAGTAGCACAGTGTCAGTTCTTAATCTGTCGGAGGTGGTCATTGATAAAGTTGATCCTTCAAGCATCACTAACGGTAGTGCACTTAGCTATTTCCATGCTCTATGCCGTCAACCTGTTCCTGGTCCTCTGGTTGGTGGAAGTGCTGCATCAAAGGATGTAAATAAGTGGCTTGATGAAATGATTGCATGGTACGGGTCTTCCTCTAGTGAATTCCAGAGAGGTGATTCTCGCAAGTTGCTTATTTCATTGCTGAAGATACTGTCTCAGCACTATGGAAAACTCCGTTCACCTTTTGCGTCTGACCCATCGCAAGAGGTATTTCCTCTCATACTCTATTCTGTAATTGAATTGTTCGTTTATATATCTCTGTTTTCTCTGGTCTTCTTTCCTTTGCTATCCTTATTTATTTTTTACAACTTGCATTAGAAAACATTGTGTCATGGTGATTTGTTTTGAGTTCGATGGTGTAAACCAAAACATAAGTTGGATAAGCTACTAAACTTTAGATTTTTATATACTATACAACCTAGAATTTGTTTACGAACAGTGTTTCAACCATGTAAAGTTATAAATACCTGTGATTAGCATTGTCACGTGGGAACTTAGCTTGATTTCATATTTTCATGTTTCATTACGAGGGGGGATTCAACTATTTTCTTAACTCTAGTTTGTAAACCATGTCTAATTTTATATCTGGTACATATTTTTTACATGAATTCTTTATAATAGGAGACAGATGGTCCAGAAATGGCAGTAACTAAGCTATTTTCATCGTGTAAGAGAAGCACTGTTCATATGGGAGATTATGGATCCATTATTCCCTGCATGAAAAATATTGCTTCAGAAAGTCAGATGCAGGTAATTTTTATTTATAATATCCTGCCCTAGTGCTCTTTATTTTTAGCAAATGTCCCTTATTGAAACAACTACTATTCTTCTAGGCTGTTGCACAAGAGGTCCAAAGTCTTCTAGTTTCTGGGAGAAGAAAAGAGGCCCTTCAGTGTGCCCAGGGAGGTCAACTTTGGGGACCTGCAATCATACTGGCATTGCAGCTTGGTGATCAGGTCTGTTTGACTTTAAACAACCTCCCTTTTGTAATGTAGCATGTTGCTCGACTTTCCTGCCTGGTTTTCATTTCCATGTTAGATTCATTGTTTTTTTCCTGGACTGTTGGTACAGTTTTATGTGGATACAGTGAAGAAAATGGCTCATTTCCATTTTGTATCTGGGTCCCCTCTGCGAACGCTATGCCTTCTCATTGCTGGACAACCTGCAGATGTTTTTAATGTAGAGAACAATGTCAACAGTGACTATGGTACATCCCATCAACCTATGGAGGTACTTGCAAAGTTAATGGGTCTTTTAGTTGTTAAATGTATTACTATATTGACCATCAAGTACTGATTATATAATTCAAATTCAAAGTAATAAAAAAATCTTTACCTTTCTTGTTGTCATTGCTGATCTCCTGTGTGATTAATGATTCCATGTCTTGTTTACTGCAATGTCATGACTTTTGGGTATCGCTTATCAATAATTTTCCTGGTTTTCTGTTTTACTATCTGACTTTTTTCACAATTTGTTATTTTTTTTTCCCGAGTCAGCCTGGTCCTAATGGTATGTTGGATGATTGGGAGGATAATTTGGCTATTATTACTGCAAACAGAACGAAAGGTGACGATCTAGTAATCACCCATCTTGGTGATTGCCTCTGGAAAGAAAAAAATGAGGTTTGTATCATTAATATCATATTTATTTTTAGATTCAGTTTTCATACTTTTTTGTGTATATGCAGTCAAGTACCTTATACACAATGTATACAGGTTGCAGCTGCCCATTCATGCTATTTAGTTGCTGAACTAAATATTGATTCATACTCGGAAAGTGCAAGGTTATGCCTCATTGGCGCAGACCACTTGAAGTGTCCTCGAACATTTGCCAGCCCTGAAGCCATTCAGGTTTGGCGCTATATGTTTTACCTGCAAAAAAGTTGTGTATGCTGTATGGAGTAGACGTTTACTTTAACATCTTTTTCGCTCAGTTGCTTAGTTAAATGTGCCCTAGATGTGGCTAGCTTTAAACAAATATTATACGGATCCATTGGCAAGATTATGCATAGTTATTTATTGGTTTATTTTCTGTTGCTATTCACTGTCTGGACTAATATCTTCAAAATGCAAACAGAGGACAGAGGTTTATGAATACGCGAAGGTGCTTGGTAATTCTCAGTATATTCTACTACCCTTTCAGCCGTATAAGCTGATATATGCATACATGCTTGTGGAAGTGGGGAAGGTTTCTGATTCTTTGAGGTAGGTTGTTGGCTTGTTCATAACAATCAAATGACACAATGCTTTCCCTAGCTTGTACTTGTACATTATGATGCAGTTGAATATTAACTTCCCTAGGTATTGCCAAGCGTCTATGAAGGTACTGAAAGCCTCTGGCCGTGCCCCTGAATTGGAGGTGTGGAAACAATTATTTTCTTCACTGGAGGAGAGGATACGCACTCACCAGCAGGTATGACCATGCCATTTGGTATATTGCTTATTGCAAATCTTTGCTTGCTTTATATCTGGGGTTCTCTTGCTCTTTTCCTTGTTCATTTACAAATGGACCAACTCTCTTTGCTTATTTTTTTTTCTGTAGGGTGGATATGGCACAAATCTTGCCCCAACAAAACTAGTTGGGAAGATTTTCACCTCGCTTGATAAATCTATATCCCGCATGATGGGTACACCATCTGCACCACTTCCACCATTGCCACATGGATCTGTTAGTGGTAGAGAGAGCCACTCTATGCCTGCAGCAGCAAAATTTGTAAATAGCCAATCAGTAATGGCCATGTCATCGTTAATGCAATCTGCTTCAATGCAGTCAATGACTGAGATAGCAGAGAATAGTGGTGGCACTGGCAGGACAATTGCACACAACAGAAGTGTTTCTGAGCCGGACTTCGGTAGAACATCAAAACAGGTACTTGCAAAGAGAAATTTTAAGATATTAGTTTCTGGTTATGTTGAATTTGAAAGATCTTTTGGTATTTATCCCCTCGTCTCATTTTAAAAACCTAGCAGGGTGCTGGATCAGATGGCACACAGAGCAGTGCATCAGGATCCGGCAGTTCTCGATTTGGTTGGCTAGTGCAGAAGACTATGGGTTTAGTGTCAAAATCCCACTGCCAGGTATTTTTTTACTCAGTTATGAAACGACTATCTCCAGTTTTTTCCTCCATCTTGTCTCTTCTATATGCAACACCAACCTTAGGATCCTATTTCTGTTATGAAGGCAAAATTAGGGGATCAGAACAAATTTTACTATGATGCAAAGTTGAAGCGGTGGGTGGAAGAAGGTGCTGCGGTTCCTGCCGAGGAGCCTCCTCTTCCTCCACCTCCAACAAAACCATCTTTCCAGAATGGTATGCCAGACCATAAGTTGAATGGCCCCATGAGCGTAAGCCATGCTCCCAATGGAGTCACAGAATGGAAATCCTCAAATTCTTCGGAGCAAGGAGGTCTGGGTATGCCGCCAATTCCACCTAGCCAAAACCAGTTTTCTGCTCGTGGACGGATGGGTGTCCGGTCCAGGTAATTCGACAGCAGCATTGCCATTTACTACTCTTAATTATATTTCTATATTGCTATCTAAGGTATTATCCAGAAAACTCACGGCTTTTCTGTTTTCATTTTAGATATGTTGACACATTCAATAAATCGGGTGTGTCTGGGGCAGTGCCATCGTATAACAAACCAGCTGCTCCATCTGTGACACCGCCAGCTGGTGCCAAGTTCTTCATGCCGACTGCAGCACCTGCTGCTGCAGATCAGATGATGCCACACCAAACAGCAGAGATACACAGTGAAACAATCCATCAGGATGAGCGGTCAGCCTCACCACCAGCAGAAACATCATTTTCTTCAACCCCACCACCCACGCAATTTTCATCACCCCCACCACACACGCAATTTTCATCACCAATGCAATCAACAATTCACCGGCAATCTAGTATGGACAACATCTCCACCCCTTACCAGGGTTCTGGGGTATCATCATTAAGCAACAACAGCTCATTCTCGAAATCACGAGCCGCATCCTGGAGTGGGACATACTCTGATCAGTTTAGTGCTTTTGCGGGCACTAGATCACCTGATGTACAGACCATGCCTTCACCACTCATGCCTGGCAAACCATCACACAGTCGTTCCAACAGCAACTCATCAGTGCAGCTCAATGGATTGACAGAGGATCTTCATGAGGTCGAGCTCTAACTGGCGACTGATCAGCATGACCGTTGCAACTCATGTCTTGTATCCACAAAGACAGCCATGGCAACCCCTGACCGTTCCAGAAACCCCGAGCTGGTGACAGAAAAGAAGCTGCCCTTCAAATGCTGATCGTGGGGATGCCGCATTTGGAATGGACTTGTGCAACTTTGCACGACATTCTGGGGCACGCTCTAAACCACGGAGGTGCGTCAGACCTGTACTAATAGAAATGCAGGGTTTTTTGAACATTTTGTAGCTATATATATATGTTGGTTTTATGTTTTAGAGAGAAGGGAAAGGGTTGGGTGGCCTTGTTTACAGGTGGTGAGAAATGGAGCAGCAGCATGCAGATGCCCTTGTACAGATAATCTGCCCCTACCCAATTTGTTTAAACGCAAACAAATTCACACCCCCACTCCGTTTTGATTTTTGTTTTTGGGAGAAGGATAGAAGAGAAGGTGTGTGTTCAAGTAGTGTGAGAAGCATGGCTCTGTAGAGTGTTGTTGTTATAGTGTCCTGTACTAGCCGCATACACATTATATTATCACTGTTTATTCTTTGGAGACGAATCATTTCTTTCATCTTGAAACAATTGTGTACTCAGTGTTGCCTTCTTGTATCCTGGGCTCCTGGCCGATGTGGTTGATGCAATTGTATCTGTGGTGTCGACACATGTTTTGTGCTGTCGCTGGTTCTTGAGATCTTGGTTGTGCTGTCGCTGTGACTTCGAGCACCTGTACGCTGAACCGTTTCGACAATTGTTGTTGACGCGCGCCATAATACTGCATCTTTTAATAAACAGTTTGTATTTAGTGTTTTATCACTTGCGTGAATAACCCCTTTTTACTTTATATTATTTCTTCATTACATATAGGGTTTTTATCCTTGAATAATTATGGCATTATTATTTGTTGAAATTCAATGCGCATGAAATCTTACACTAGTTAGTTGGCCTGGCCCAACTAGGTCTGACTCGGGCCTCGGCACTAAAGATGGCGACCCAACGATGGAGTCCGAGTCGGGCACTCGCGGCGCGTGGCAGTGTTATTATATATTGCCGGCCTGGTGAGCCCTGGATTCCCTGGAGTTCTGGCAGCGGCGGCGGCGAAGGTCTCCAAAAATCTCGACAGCAAGGCAGCGGCGGCGGACAAGGTGGCGAGGAAGACCAAGATGGTGATGGTGAGGAAAACCATCGTCGACGACCTGCTGTTAAACCCCCTGGGCGACTCCCTGGCTTCTTCTGCCGCTGAGTTGGGGTGGGATACTGAGGTCTTTGCCAAGGTGGATGCGCTCTTTGAGAAGGAGCACGACTTCGACATGAGCATCATTAGGCAGTGCCAGAAGGGGTATAAGGTGGTGTATTATTTGGGGTTTGAGATGGTGGAGGTGGAGGTGGATGATGACGACGACGACGAGTAAGGGCAGTAGATGACTAGATGGTGGAGGTGGAGGTCGGGGATGACGAACAGTGGCAGACAAGATAGATTTCGTAAAAAAAAAAAAACTAGATAGACAGATGGATTTAGCCTATAGATGGATGGATTGATGTTTAAGTGTACGGTCTAACTATGCTCTATGTGTTCTGTCTCTGATGTGGAATTAGTCCCTCCGTCCCAATATATAAGGCGTAACCATTTATTCATGTCTTATAATATAAAGCGTGTTTTTTCTAGAGGCTTATATGTAGTAGTACTAATGTTGGGAAAGAGAATTAAATGTGTTTCTTGGTCTTTGAACCGGAGGTGGTTACACCTATATACATGCACCACCTTAGGTTGGTTGGTGGGTCTTTGGTTGATCTTTGGTTTTTGTGTGAAAAAAAATTATTATTAAATAATTAAATAAATCATGGACGGAGGGGTTTGAAATTTTCTTTTGCCTAACAGGTCTTCTTTTATGAATCATGATCATGGACGGAGGGGTACTGTTGATGGCTTGTGATTTTCTTTTGCCTACTGTGTAGCCATGTCTTCTTTTATGATCAATCAATGCGACATTTATTAAATTATATAAAAATTCCTTCCTCTCTCTCGGTCCAACGCTCGTCACTTCCACCACTCTTTTTTTCGTCTCGCTCCCACCTCTCTTCGTGCATCGGCATCATGTGGTCGTCATCTCTCGCTTAGTATTGGAACACATGACATAAACTTGCATGTCTGCTATGTGCTATGTATATATAGTATTAAAGAGCAAGAATTTCTCTTTCTAAATTTTCATCCTTCACCTCTTCCAAGTTTGTCTGTCCCTCATCTCTCTCAAGTATGAGTATTATATCCGACTCTCGAGTATAATAATATTATCGATTTCACTAAGAGTAGTACGTGATGACTTAGAGATACATTTGATTATAGGTGTTAGAATACCTCACATCCGGTCACGAAGTTTTGTTGCATACATGACTAGCCCTTTATTATATTAACATTTATTATTATGGGGCTTACAATTTATTTCATTTAAGGTTAATCAAGTCCAATTAATCCAACAATAATAGCTACCTCATGATTTCAAAAAAAAAAAGCTACCTCATTATTATTGGCGCGAGCACTGTGTACTAAATTATGTGTCCCGTTGCAACACTCATGTATGTTTGCTAGTCCATATACCTAATATTAAAGAGCTAAATTTTCTTTTCCATTTGTTTGGTCTTCACTATTTTTGCGACCTGAGAAGGGGATGTTGGCCCTGTCTGCCATCTCACCAGAAGCTGAGAACTGGACAATGCCATGCTGCAGGTTCAGAGCATGTATTTTGCGTGTTTAGCAAGGAAATTGAGGATACGGTTATTTACACAAGCTCTTTTCCTTACGAAAAGTGGACTGTACATATCTCAGAGTCCCTTCTGTATGTAGTTAACAAACTAAACACTAGACATTCTTCAGAAGAAAACAGCCTCCTTCCAGTCATATATGATGACAGCAAAACATCTACCTCCCTGCTTTCATTCAGAGACAGAATCGGCAAGCCTACCACGAAAACCATATCCAGCAATATGAACAGCTGAGGGCAAGGTCTACAACTGAAATAAAATAAAGCCTCTGCAGAACCAGAGAACGTGGCACAAGAAACGTCAGGTTTTCGAGGCTTCGGGCCTGTTTGCTTGAAATTATCAGCTACGGTATTTTTCTCTCAATCAAAACAGCTTTGGTTGGCTTATCACAACAAAAACAGCTTATCAGCCGGCTTATCACAACAAAACAGGTTGATGTCGGTGAAGCAGGAGGTGCCGGTACGCGTGGTTTTTGGCACGGTTGGTCAGGAAAGCGAGAGGAGAGGAGGAAAACCCAAGCACTCTGGTGAAAGAAAACCGGCTGCTGAGCTCCAGGATTTGCCTCGCCAGCTGGGCTGCTACTGCAGGAGTAGACTGCTTTCTCCTTTCCTTTCGTTTCGTTTCGTTTCAGCGACTTTGGCTGCGGTTAGTTTGCGAAATTTGAGAACTTGGTTACCGTGGTATTTTCGTTTTTATTTGACAATTAGTATTTAATTATGAACTAATTAGGCTCAAAACGTTCGTCTCGCGATTTTCTATCAAACCGTGCAATTAGTTTTTTTTCGTCTATATTTAATGCTTTACATACGTATCGTAAGATTTAATACGATGGCTACTGTAGCATTTTTTAGAAACTTTTTGAGAACAAAACACAGCCTTTGGCTGCTGATTAATTGCTTTCCGATACCAACCTTTCAACGCACGTCTAGAAGTACGTACTAGAGTCAAGTCACCGCTCTTTTCGAACAAGAAAGACTCGCAAAAGGGAAGCGAAAGCGTAATTAAGAAAGAAGAGCGCTACTCGGCTTATTCCAACTTCCAAGATGCAAGTGTGACATAGTCCTTACGATTAAAGCTTGATAGAAAGTTCTACTATGAAAATAGGATGTTTTAAGCAGTGAAATCACTTTTTTTTTACAATAAAATCAGTAGCATCAACCTTTTGTTTACAGTTATTTGGACTTTTATTTGTCATTGGTTGTTAAAAAGATATAAAAATGTTTCGCTTGAAACATGATTTTTTTTAAAAGGCTTGTACATTTAAAATACTCTATCTGACCACGAGAACATAAAATTCTCATTTTTCGAGAAATCAAACCATCTGAATTTTGACTAAATTTATGTAAAAAATATAAACATTCATAATACAATTAAGTACTGTTAGATTAGTTATTAATTATAAAATATATTTTTATTATAAATTTATTTCAATATATAAATATTAATACTATTTATTATAAATTTAATCAAACTTAATATTGACCGGCACACGGATATCATAGTCGTATTTTTTTATATAGATAGAGGGATTAAGGCCAGCAGCTCCAGCAGTTAAAGTAGTAGTAACCCGATAAGCGCTAAGATCTTCTTTAGTTGTGTGACATAGTTTGGGAGCTTGATAGAAAATTGTACTATGAAAATAGGATGTTTTAAGCAGTGAAATCGTTGTTATTTAAAATAATTAGCATCAATTTAATTATACTTTTATTTGTCAGGCTTAAAAGATATTCGAAACATGATTTTTAAAAATTTCATTTAAAAACTCTGTAGAGCATAAAATTAGTTTTTTATTTTTATTTATATTTAATAAACATTCATAATACAATTAAGTACCGTTAGATTAGTTATTAATTATAGAATATATTTTTATTATAAATTTATTTCAATATATAAATATTAATACTATTTATTATAAATTTCATCAAACTTAATATTGACCGGCACACGAATATCATAGTCGTATTTTTTTATATAGATAGAGGGATTAAGGCCAGCAGCTCCAGTAGTTAAAGTAGTAGTAACCCGATAAGCGCTAAGGACTTATTTAGTTACGTAAATATTTTGAGAAAGGTGGGAGGAGGATTTTGTAAAATCAAAGTGTAATACGCCCGCTCCTCGTGAATTTACATTAGTTTTTTTTTTTTGCATATTTTCCTCTACCACCTCAAAGATTCGATGTGACAAGAAATCTTGAAAAATTTTGCAAAATTTTGGGAACTAATCAAGCACTAAGCAGTTTTGTGTTAGTGGGGCCACGGTAGAAAAATTTGATCAAATTTGAATCAGCACGGATACAAGAGTTATTTCTTTCTAACAGAGGAGTAGATAAGATGGGGTCCCTCTATTAAAACCAGCATCTCTAGCAGGTAAAGTGGTTTTCGGTGAGTGGGCCAGGGTAGAAATGGAATTGAATACAAATAGCAGGATGGACCATTCTCCTCCTACGAGTAGCCATTGCCATTGCCATTGCCATTTCTCCACCACTCTCAGCCAAGGAAAGCCTCTCCTAATCCCATCCGATCCGCCGAGATTTGAAACCAAGGTAATCGATAGTGGTTAACCTTGGCAATCACACACATTCGCAGCAGCAGATCATCAATCAATCACAAGAAGATGAAGAAGGCGTCGTCGCTCTCCCAGCTCGGCTTCGATGCCGGCGACGCGTCGTCAGGCTTCTTCCGCCCCGTGTCCGACTCCTCCGGCGGCGGGGTGGTGACCCCCTCGGCGCACCGGCGGAGGCTGACCAAGGTATCCGTGATCGGCGCGGGCAACGTGGGGATGGCCATCGCGCAGACCATCCTGACGCGTGACCTCGCCGACGAGATCGCGCTGGTGGACGCGCTCCCGGACAAGCTCCGCGGGGAGATGCTGGACCTGCAGCACGCGGCGGCGTTCCTGCCGCGGACGCGCCTGGTCTCCGACACCGACATGTCCGTCACCAGGGGCTCCGACCTCGCCATCGTGACGGCCGGGGCGCGGCAGATCCCGGGGGAGACGAGGCTCAACCTGCTCCAGCGGAACGTGGCTCTGTTCCGCAAGATCGTGCCGCCGCTGGCCGAGCACTCCCCCGACGCGCTGCTGCTCGTCGTGTCCAACCCCGTCGACGTGCTGACGTATGTGGCGTGGAAGCTGTCGGGGTTCCCGCCTAGCCGCGTCATCGGCTCCGGCACCAACCTCGACTCGTCTAGGTTCAGGTTCCTCCTCGCCGAGCACCTCGACGTCAACGCCCAGGACGTACAGGTGCGTCTGTCGCCGTCGCTCTTTTTTCGGTTCGATTCCCGCGCCCTGTGTGTGCCCCTGTCCCCTGTTCGTGATGAGACATGACTGGTGGGGCCACGTGACACCTGGGGCCCATCCCGGCCCGGCCACTGGCCAGAGCCGCAGAGGGCAGAGGCATCAGTTCCCTGTGGGCCTTGCCACTTCGCCAGTGGCCACTGGCCTATGGGATGGAGGGAGCATGTGACCACTGCTCCAATCTCCATGTGGGGCTGCTCTGCTCACATGGTTGTCTGCTTGTGCCGACCACCTTCTGCTTGTGCACCTGCTCAAGGAAATGCTAGTACTACGTCTACCACACGGTCCATGAACCATGATGACCGGCACTCCAAAGTTTTTTCAAAGCCACCAGCAGCTTAATTCAACTACAGGTTGAAAGCATGCATCCCCTGGTGCCTGGAGAGCCACGATGCTTGTTCTAATATATATAAGTTTGTAACTCCAGCTTCATTTGGGTCTAGTACTCATTATTCATTTCAAAGGTGCATCATTTCTGCTAGCCATCGATAGTACTCTGCTCGTACATGCGAAGAGTAATTAAGTTGAGCAGCTTCATCCGATCTGATTACGGCGGAAGCGCCTCTCAAATAGAATGTGATATGTAGCACTTGCTCTAGTTTCGTCATTTTAGTTTATCTTAGCTTAACGTGTGCAATCGAGTCAGCACACAACACTTAGCAGAGGCACATTCAGTTTAATTACATGTCTAGTGTTGTGTCACAATCGCATCACAATAGTTTGTTTCAACCTTCAATAGCTGCATCATGCAGGCTACTGAAATGAAAGCCGGCATGTTGATGGATCGATTTGTTTGCATTGCAGGCGTACATGGTGGGCGAGCACGGCGACAGCTCGGTGGCGGTGTGGTCGAGCGTGAGCGTGGCGGGGATGCCGGTGCTCAAGTCGCTGCAGGAGAGCCACCGCTGCTTCGACGAGGAGGCGCTGGAGGGCATCCGCCGCGCCGTCGTCGACAGCGCCTACGAGGTGATCAGCCTGAAAGGCTACACCTCCTGGGCCATCGGCTACTCCGTCGCCAGCCTCGCCGCCTCGCTGCTCCGCGACCAGCGCCGCATCCACCCGGTCTCCGTGCTCGCCAGGGGGTTCCACGGCATCCCCGACGAGAACGACGTCTTCCTCAGCCTCCCCGCAAGGCTCGGCCGCGCCGGCGTCCAGGGCGTCGCCGAGATGGAGCTCACCGAGGAGGAGGCCAAGCGCCTGCGTCGCTCCGCCAAGACGCTCTGGGAGAACTGCCAGCTCCTCGGCCTCTGATCGGATCTCATTTCATTCGTGTTCCACCTCATCTCGTCGTGTTTAACAGTTTGATTTTGGATCGTCGTAATGTTACCATCTTAAAACCGTTGATTACTGCATCAATCACACTAGTAGTGCATCCGGTGTTCAATAAAATTACTACTCCGGAGTATGTGTTTTCTAGTTGCATTAGTTAGTAGTAGTACTGATTTCTGCATTTGGTTTGATTGGTTCGTCGTGACCCATTGACGGCATTATCATCCCCAATTTCTATTTGCAAGGAGGACCAGTTCGTTTCATTTTTTGGCACCGATGCAGTTAAGTCCGCTCGATCACTCGTCATTATGATATGATTAATCTCAAACTTCCTTCATTTTGGCCCAAGAGGTCGCTAAGCCCCCACTCGAGAGTGCTTGGCCTACGATGGTGTGTCCGTGTGTGTGTAGCGGCTTATATATATGTATCTAGCGTGCTGAGAGAGAGGAACAAGAAATTTGTAACACACTCGTTCACTCAGGAAGCTTCCTCGGCCAATTTTTGTTTGCCTCCGATCCTTGACGTTCCCCAAGTCTCCCTCTTCCTTCTCATCTATAGCAGCACCTGGCGCTCGGAGATGGAGGTGACCCTTGATGACATCAAACTGGAGGTCAAGAATAGGCCTGCGCACATTGAGCCCGGCCTGAGCCCAGATGGGTTTTCGCCCACAAGCCTTAGTGCAAAGGTCCTGGACACATATCGCTACCTAGGAAAAACATTTAGCTCTTTTACACTGTAAACCGTGTGTGCGGCCCGCCCAAGTCTAGGCCCGGTCTGAAAAATTAGGTCTGGCCGCTAATAAGACAGTCATGGTAGGATTTTTTTCCAGCCAGGTCCACAAAATGCTTAGATCTAGTTAAGAAGATCGCCAAATATTAAGATCGCAGTGTTCGACATATAGTCTCTTACCACACCCCGACATCATGTCCTACGTTGGCGACCGCACGCTTATCTGTCGGACCACCCGCCAATAGGGCCAACGGTCTTATATATTTATAGGGCGTGGAGAGAGAGTGACAAGAAATTTGTAGCAAACTCGTTAACTTGGAAGCTTCCTCACTCGAGAGTGGATTTTCCACACGTACCTTTGGCCGCCAGGCCTCTCATGGGCATAGGAGGGCGCTAAGACTATGATGGGCCAACGACGCCGACGGAAGGATGTAGGAGCGCGGTTGACCTCGTCGGGCCACCTCCTCCACCGCCCGCTCCACTAGTAGAGAAGTGGGCAACAGTCTCGGTTGGGAACTGGCTTTAGTGATCCGGGACTAAAAGCATTGTCCTTTAGTCCCGGTTGCCTCAACTGGGAGTAAAGGTCCTCCTAGGCTAAAATGTATGGCCTCGCGCGTACCTTTCCACCCCACCTACATAGCACATGTGACCTTGGATGAGATGCTTTTCTTTTGAACTAGCCCATCGGAGGACCTTTAGTCCGGGTTAGTAACACCAACCAGAATTAAAGGATCCTTTAGTCTGGGTTGGTAACACCAACCGGGACTAAAGGTCAAGACTCTTTAGTCCGGGTTGGTAATACCAACCCAGACTAATATAGACCCTTTAGTCTAGGTTGGTGTTATCAACTGGGACTAAAGGTCTTCTGAAGCCTAGGAAACTTGGACCTGGGGCTAATGGTCACATCAGTCCCGGATCAAAGGCTAGCCAAGACTAATGTGCTAAACCGAAAGTCTAGTGCTCTGGCAGTGCCATCGCCGCCTCCGCCTCGCCGCCGTCTCTCCCGTCCCCACCGTAGGCCTGCTTGCCTCTCCTGATTTCCCTTTCTAAGCCTGCCGGAGATGAAGAAGAAGAGAGGGAGAGGAAGAGAAGGCAGTGGCCATGGCAGTGGTGGGTGAGCTTGAGGTTGCCGGAGCCGGCGCGATGGCAGACGATGTGGCAGGAGCCGGGGCCGACGGCTGAGCATAGCGGAGGGCAGCGCGGTACCAGAGCTGTGGCTGTCGGCGTGGGGCGGCATTGGCTTGGGGAAACAATGCCATGGGCGGTGGTGGCGTCAGTAGAGGAGAGAGAGAAGAGATGCTTGAAGATTTGTGCTGGAGAGATCAAGAATAGCTGAGATAGAGCATGCGGCTGCATATACGTGCGGTCCTGCTTTTCCCTTCCTTACCGAATTGGTTCTTTGTCTCCTTCCGTTCTGCAAGTCTTCCTCTTCCTTCCGATCTATATCTAACACGATGCTGGATCCAGAGCTTATGTTGCGAATCATGGAGTCGGTCCTAAAATCTCATAGCATACAATGTGTATTTGGGCAAGATTCTATATATGAATTTCTTCTTGGATCTCGTTAATTCATCATTCATCGTGGTTAGCCTTGACAAGCAAGGCGTGCAATCTCGTGATTATCATCCTGGTGTGGGGGTGCAATCATCCGACCCTCACACGGCCGGTAATTTCTCCGTCGAGTCGAACCCACAAGAAAATTAATTGGTTCACCGATAAATATTTCTTCTATATGTCGATATTTTTTTTTATTTCCTTGCATTGTTGGTTTTGCACTGATAGGGGGATTTCGTTTTCCAGTAGGGTTTACTTGGAATTTGCATAATATATTACATAGGCGATGCCCAAATTCTAATATTTAGTACATGCATAGGTGTGGCCGTGTGGGCGCTGGATCAGCAGGGGTTTTTCTTTTTTCATAAGAGAAGTTGGGGGCATGCCACGTTTTTGGAGTGGGCTGCCCGGCCTGTAGGATACGAGAGAGACACATCATATTCATGGAAGCTTCCAAGGAAGAAGCTGCAGGTAGGAATTGAACGTGAGTCTAGATGTGCACGCATAACACAATTGACGACATGCATATGTTTGTGTGTGGTCCTGGTCCAATCCAAAGCGCATATATATATATATATATATATATATATATATATATATACTCTCTCTCTCCACAAGGTAACTGTCAAGGTATATATATACATATAGCCGTATGCATGAATCCACGCGTGCATCCACGCGTTTTAAGTAGTAGAGTACGAAGCCTGTTCGCTTGCTCGTAAACGATCGTAAATTTCCAGCCGGGAATAGTGTTTTTCTCTCACATCAAACCAGCCAGCAGTAAATAATCCACGATACGATACGGCCTCCCGAACAAGCTGCGAATGTATCATGCATGACCGAGCAGCTAGTAGCCATGTATGTCATTTCATGGAAATGGACAAACGATGTATATATAAGGACGACAAAGAGGAAGCGACGAGTGGAAGAATATACTCCTAGCTAGGACGACAATCTAGAATTCTAGATATGTGGAAACGTAGGCCACTAGTGGAGGGACGGGCTTTACTCTCGGTGGAGAACCCCCTCTAGTCCTGGTTCTTCACCCAGGAGCAAGCATCCGTGACTAAAGATTGGTCCTTTAGTTCTGGGTCAGGAACCGGGACTAAAGGCCAGGACTAACCTTTAGTCCCGGTGGATAACACCAACCGGGACTAAATGTCTTTCCAGCTTTAAAAAAAATAATGCCTCCCACCGCTGCGTCCCGTGAGATTCGAATCCAAGACCTCATGCAGTGCCTCGCACGTAGCTTACCACCCCACATACACAACACATCTAACAATGGATGGGATGCTTCTATTTTCAACTAACCCATCGGGGGACCTTTAGTCCCGGTTGGAGACACCAACCGGGACTAAATGGTCCTTTAGTCCGGGTTGGTTACCAACCGGGACTAAAGGTTGGAGGACTTTTAGTCCCGGTTGGTGGCTCCAACCGGGAGTAAAGGTCCACCTTTAGTCCCGGTTGGAGACACCAACCGGGACTAAAGGTCTCTCTAGTCCCGGACGCAAAAAAATGCCGGGACTAAAGCCCATTTTAACCTCGGATGAAAGGTCTGTTTTCTACTAGTGGGCAAAAAAAGAAGAAGAAGGTGAGAGGATGCTGGTGGTCTCTTTCAGGGTCAGGCAGCTAGGTCTTTCAATTCATTCCCTTGTCAAAACCGGCGACTTGCATTGCAAAGCATCGGAATCGGAGGAAAGGAGGAGGATGCTATCGGATCGGATCATCCGTCAGCTGGGAAGAATTGAAGGACCAAGCCAAGATGGTACGACCGGCCGGCCATGCCTATGCGTTTCACAAGTCTGTTCCGGATCCGGCCCGTCCCTTCCAAGGAAACATCGTCATGCATCATATCAGATAGGCAGGCCGATCCAGGATTTTATTTGCTATATGGGGTGCGGCACACCAAAAATCTGCTGTATTCGATCGGTTAACAATTCACTGCAAAGTTTGTATTGTAATTTGGTATAAATAAAGTACTAAATAGCATAATAATAGGTCTTAAATTCAACAATTAAGTACACAATAACACATGAATAATATCAACATCGATCAGTTGTTGATCCGATCAATATACATGCCGTATGCAGGGCGGCCACTCAACTTTAGGCTACTCGATCCATTGACCATTGGATTTGGATTGATCTTGATCCCCAAGCAGCAGCAGCAGCTAGCTAGCTTAGCTAGATATATAGGGACATGAAAACAAATGTAAAACTACTAGTACGGAGATCTGGACCCCTAATGCAAGGAAGGAAGGAGAGACGGACGACATGAGTGTCATCGCCCACGATGACTTTGTTTGAATTGAAACGAAGACCAAATATAATATAATATTACACCAAAACCAGCAGCAGCTTCATTTTTCCCATTCCGGCGGTAGCGCTGCTGCCTCCGGTATTTGCATGCATGGTTGAACCGGCGTGCGCGGTCCTGGGCGGCCCCCGGCCGCCGGCGGCTACTTTTTACTTTTCCACGCCTTGAACTCTTCTCCAAGGTACTAACTAGCGTCCCGTTGATTTGGACTTATTTGGTTTATAAATCGTACTTTTCAGTTAATAAACAGTATTTTTCTCTTGTACCAAATCAGTTAACAGTATTTTCAGCCATAACTTATCAGCCAAACAAACCTAAGCACAAGCACAGAGCATAGTACGGTGGAACTTGAATCCGGCCGGCCAACGTACCCGGGCCGACTG